CCAATCAAAAGACATGGTAGGTTATACGCCAAAGCAATATTTACTGGTTACAAACGAGGACGAGAATACTGCTCTTTTGAATGTGTAAGGAACTGAATCAAAAGATGAGAGCTGCTTTTACGTTGGCAAGAAATGTGTATACGTTTATAAAGCTAAAAACAAGACGTGTGTTCCTGGACGTCCTAAGTCTGTAAAATCCAAGGTACGAGCCATCTGGGGAAAAATTACTAGGCACCATAGTACAAGGGGAGCAGTGAGAGCCAAATTCAACAGAAATTTACCTGCCAAGGCAATGGGCACCGTATTCGAATTATGCTGTACCCATCCAAAATATAACTATGCTGTACCCATCCAAAATATAACAGTATGTATAAAATGAATAAAACATATGCGTTCTAAATTTTTCTATTTGAATTATATGCCTTCACACTATGATGCCGTTCTCGGTCCGATCTCCCTCCGGTCTCGGTCCGTTCCTGGTCCGGTAAAGTATTCTCAAACAAGAAAGAATCAGAGTATTTTCACTATCGTATCGCTCTGGTTCCGATCCGACATCGCGCCGGTACCGGTTAGTCGAAAAGAATATTTGACTGGAGCGAGACTTGAGCGAGATCGGACCTGTCATGACTTGTACCGACAGTGTGAGTACGTTTTTGTTTCAACTCCAGTCTTTCTTCGGTCTTGCAAGGAGACGTTACATTTTTCTTCTAGTCATGGCTAGTTAGAAATCGTGTGATTCTGAGTATTTGAGTAATTTATAACATTTGATCATATAAATAATAAAATTTTCTTCGTCGTCTATCAAATGACGATATAACGTGTGATATTCGCCTTCTTCTTTTCTCGTTAGTAAACTGGGATGTATCCACATTCTTCTTCTTTTCATTTTATGTTGTAATTTTTTTTTCATTTGTATTCTGTTCGTCCAAACTAATAGCTATTATCACTAATTCTTCGATTGAAAAATTAAATTCCATTTTTTGGCGAGTACAATTTATCGAATTATTTCGAGAAACGTTCTATGTCGACCATGGATCGATACAGACTGAGTGTGGAACTAGTAGTGTAGACACAGCGAGATTTGATCGGACCGAGACCGGAGTGAGAACGGCATCATAGTGTGGATCGAGCTTTACTGAACCAGTGGATCAAACTTTTCCACCACATTACGAATAGTCCTCTCGATAGGACGATAATGACCACCGTAAATTGCTATATCTGTCCATGGTGATTTGGCACAACAAACTGAATAAATTTGACAGATGTAGTTACAACAAGATGGCCGTTATCAATTATCAATATAATTCATTTTGTATACATTGTATACTTGTATACATTTTGTTTTTAATTTTCTTTCATTCTGTGAAATAAATTGAAGTAAATGTATGAAGAAAACGCGGAGAAGTTTTGAATATGACTAAATTAAAATTCGATCAGATTTTGTACCGCAAATGAGTATCACACTAGCCATGCCGTATTTTGATAACAGTCATTAATTATAATAAAAAGTGAAAAATAATCTAAGTAATACGTCTTAGTATAATCTAGTTAGTTTTCATGAATTAAATCAAATTGAATAGTAGAAACCTGTTTTGAACCCAACTTACCATACTAAATTGAATAGTGGAAAAAAATAAGATCCGTGAAACCATCAAAAGTATGTCTCCACAAAAAATGGCATTCGTTCAATATGTTTGTAATATTATTATATCAATTTCTAAGACTATTCCACGAAAGTACAAAATAACATAACAAATTGAAAGGGTTATATTTTGAGGAGTGAAATTTTTACCTTTCATTTTTCATATAAAAGTATTTGTTTCGAAAGAGTTTTTCTTTCNCATTTGGAATACGAACTGAGTAAAGTGTTTTTTTGTATAATTCAGTGTTCATATAAAAGTATTTGTTTAGAAAGAGTTTTTCTTTCATATGATTCAATGTTTATATGAAAGTAGCTGTTTCAGGAGGGCTTTTTCTTCCAGTTTGTATCTGAAAATTACTTCTTTGCATGATCTACACATCTATGTATAGAGTTACTTCTTTTGAAATTGATTGCTTGCTTCCTTCCTTTCTTTAGAACATTCTTACATTTTTTATATATCAAGATGGAGTAGTAGAAAGCCAAAAACTTTCTTTCCCAAACATTACAAAATTATTACGAGTTCTGCGATTTCTGAAAACTGAAAATACTTGATGAAAATAAATAACGTATTTCCAACTTGTGAGATTTTCTCTGAACAGCCTACAAAACCCAACACGTTTCACTATACAATAGCTTCCTCAGGCATGTTCATACTAAGATTTCTTTTCTTTTAGCTACGATAAAATCCAAGTTTCCAAACCGATAACCATACTTTCACTATCGCGAATTTCGGGTAGATATCAGCTCCTGTCCCAATTTACAGAGTTTTACAACGATAAAATGCACTAGATCTGTCTAAAAGTCTAAACTATTGAAATGAACATAAATCGCTGCTCCCATTTCACGTAAATCCTAGAATTTGGATTTCAAAACTGAATTTTTTGAAAACTTGATGTACTGAGGATATAACCCTTGAGAAAAACTTAAGACGGTTATGACTCTGTTTACAGCAAAAGAAACTAAATATATTTTCCCCTCCACTCTCGTTTTGGTTCACTCGCCAAGAAACAAAACAACGAATACGAATTTTTGAGATGAATAATGTTTTTCAGAACTTCAATTTATGATGTTTATACTTTACTAGTGCACAACAGTTGGAAGGTTTGACAATTTCAAGGTTGTGAATGATGAATTTTGTTTTGCTCATGCATTGCAAATTTCAACTCACGCGTTCCAATTCAACATTTACAATGGTATTATTACGATTCCCCGATAAGATCGTTCCAATATTGATTTCAATGTTTCAACAGAAGCCGAAATAATGATTTTATCAGTAGAATGTGAATTAGAGAACTTTATTATAACACATGGACTGAAAATTCTCGGCCTAAGAAATTATCTTTTGCCTCAAAATAGGCCTGTTTCAGCAATAAATTCTTCATTCAAGCAATATTTCTTACCGGTGGGCATTTTTGAGGTCTGCGAACAGCCAAATCTGGCCAAATCTTGCGAATACAGTGGATGTGGGAACAATTCGAAGTCCAAGTCATGTAGTTTTGCCATTGTTTCGATGGCGTGTGTTGCGAGGTTTGATTTATATATTATTGGGTTTTGCGTACGCCTTTTTGTGCTCGTCGTACCTTTGGATCAGTTTTTTCTTAGTTTGGCCGATATAGAATTTGTTGCAGTCTGAGCATTGTATGCTGTACACCCCTTTTAGGTTTTTGTCTTCTTCTTTTTCATAGCTGTTTATTTTTTGTGTATTTTCGTGTTTGGCTTGTATGTGAAGTTAATGTTCAGGGGTTTGATGATGTTTNTGAAGCAGATGAATGCTATGTGAATGCTGTCCATCGTTGTGTTGTTTTATCTGTTGGAGTAGTTTGATCCTTGTTCTGTATTTTTTGTTTGATTCTATTTTCTAGTTTATTCATTGTCTTTTGGGTGTATCCGTTCTCGTTCGCTATTTGGTATATGATTTTCCTTTCCTTGTTCCGGGCTTCATTGCTAAGTGGTATCCTTAACATTCTGTATATGAATACGTTACAGGGTGTATATGAATGGGTGGTTTGAACTTGCGGGTATGGTGGAGCTTGTTTGTGTGGGTTTCCTGTATATTGCCATTTGAAATTGAGTTTTGTTGTGGTTATATTCGATAGTTATGTCCAGGTATTTGAGTTTTGAGTTGTTTTCTTCCTCTATGATGAAAATCAGTTTTTGATTTATTTTGTTAATTTCCTTTGTTATTTGATCTATTCTTATTCCATTGTTTTGTGATATGTACAGGCCATCGTCAACGTATCTGAACCATTCTTCTTTTTCATCATCTGTTTTTGTAATTGTTAAGATTTTCTCATCTATGATTTGCAGGTATATTTCGGATATAATGCTAGATAGTGGGGATTCCACAAACAAACAACATTTTTATCTTACATAAAAAATAACTTTTTCAATAAAAAGTATCCTATGTTACTTCTAATACCTCTAAGAACATGTGTACAAAATTTCATGATCGGTAGAGTAGTTTTCGCGTGAAACCGTAACAAACAAACTTACATTCGCATTTATAATATTAAGTCGGGAAGTAGGGATGTGCTGTACTTAGTTTAATTGATGTGTTAGTATTGAAATAATTTATTTAATCATTATTTTAAATTTCATCCCTGTTTAAACATTCTTGTTTCTTGGGAATAACAAAGATTATTATTATTAAATTTCCCCTATCGTTGAAGTAATAATCTAGACTGTTGATTGGCTAAAAAGAATTTTTCCACAACAAATTTTCTTTCTAAGTTTGATGTTAATTTTAATTAAGTTCGCATGTGTCGATCATAAGGCATGACAAGATAACATGGAGGATTATGGTGCATAAATATCGTACCCAGAAATAAAAATACCTTATCATTTATCAGTCAGATGAAAGAGGTTAAAGGATAATGATCGTGATAATGAATAAAACAAGTGACATGAAACAATTCTGTAATTTGTTTATGGATGATCTTTAGGAAAGAACCATTTGACGTAGGAATAACTCGTATTTACTTCAATATTTCAAGACATCTTTCGAAACATTATATTTTCTGTACATGAAATTTATATTTTTTATGGTGTAAGAATTTAGTAAGCGATAACGTAAAGATATTTGAAGTAAATTTTAGAATGAATGAGATACTATACCAAGGGAAATGTACACTTTCACAAACAGTCGACATATACGACAATAATACTAGCCAACAAATAAGAAAACAAATTGCGACTAATATTATAATGGCTTTACATGAGAGTTTAAAGCATCCTGACTGCGACTTCAACATCAAAAATTTTCCATCACGTAAAGATTTTGAGTTATAGTTATTTTGATTTTTTACAAAAATTTTCACATATAGGGAAATATAAGATCAAAACAAGAAAAAACAGTATATTATGAGGATAACATACTTTATTCACAATAGGTACACATGAAAAAACATTCAAATGAAGTCTTTTGTGCATAACCATTTTGCAAATGTTGACTTTTGTTTATATGTTTCATCGTTTTTCCTCATAAGGAACTAACAATAATCCCCATCATTACTGCATCCTATCTGCCTTGGTAAAGTTGCTCCATTGTCAGTATGTCTTGGTGGAACCTTTCGTCAACCACAGCACCCAAATTTTCTGGGAAAAAATTCAAATGGAAGTGCAAGAAATGAATTTTGACAGACATGCGACAGTAGTTTTCAATTAGTTCTTCTGCAAGTGTTTCGTAATTTTCTACTTTCTTGTCCCCTAAAAACTCCGAAACAATTCTTTTGAAAGAACTCCACGCAGCTAATTCAACATTACTTAATTTTTTATCAAACTGTTGATCACTTAGTAGTTTTCCAATTTGTGGTCCAACAAATATACCTTCATTGAGCTTTACATCACTAAATTTTCGAAAAACGTGTTTAAGATATTCAAACGCATCACCTTCTTTGTCTAATGGTTTTACAAAATTTTTCATTAACCCCAGTTTAATGTGTAATGGAGGTAACAAAACGTTTTTGGGATTAACGAGAGGTACATTCTTTACGTTAGCTTGACCTGGAATATATTTATCTCTCGGAGGCCATTCTTTTACTTGATAATGGCTCTGTGTTGCCCTACTGTTCCAAAGGCAAAGAAAACAGCAAAACTTCGTAAATCCGCCCTGAACACCTAGTAACAGTCCTATGACTTTTAGGTCACCACATATTTGCCACTTATACGTTTTATAACTTATTGCATTTAGTTTCATTAAATTTTTGTGAAAAAAATCATAACTCAAAAATCTTACGTTTTAGGAAATTTTTACTATCATACTCGCATTTAGGGACCAAAAATTAACAAAGAACTGCCTTTGGTAGTACAGTCGTAAATTGGCTGTAAACTAGTGTAATTATAGTAAAAATAGAAGCATAATGTCAGTGAACCAAAACAAATTTAAACTTTACATGGGTGTCGAAATACCAAACTTTTTGGCTTTCCCTGGTAAGTTATTGTATAAACACAATTGTATACTTTTCTCAAAGAAAAATATTCCATTCGTCATATTCACCTGCCAGAAAAAGTTTACATTTATCGATAGGTAGCTTTTTTTATCTACATTTCAGAATCAAAAATTCATCCCCTACTCTCAGCAGCCGCGCAGATTGCTATTCTATTATCAATTTAATTCAATTCACGTCAAATGAAAGTTGAAATCATGTCTTGAATAGTTGATTGACTTTTGTGTCACATTGGCATTGAACACCCTGTGGTATGTGATGAAATTGGCCGATAATTGATGAAAATCCATCCTTATGCACAAATATTCACATATCTCTTCCTCGTTTTATTTTTCATCGGTAGATAATTTATTCAAGTTGCACTTTATTGCGAGTTGTAATATTTCCAATGTAAAATTTTCAAAACAGGAACGCGTGTTTCGCTATACAACAGCTTCCTCTCAGACTCATTCATACTGACTGAATTCTACTTTATTTGTGCTTCATTAAAACCAACGCTACTAACTCACCACCACTCAATACAGCAATAGAGAATAGTGGAAATTTTGATAAAAACGATATGATTTTTTAGCCCAACACAGCAGAAGGAAATTTAGCAGACGACATCTCGAAGGCATAACCTAATATAAATACTTTGATTATCACTTCAACATACATCTGAAATTTAATAATATAATTTACCAAAAAAAATATCTTCAGTGAAATATATTCATACTGGAAAATTCCAGTATTGAATGCAACCACTACATAACACATGGGCTGAAAAGTCCCGGGACTAAGAAAGAAAACGCATTTGTTTTTTGTTCAAAATTGGCTTTATTCATAAACGTTTTCTCCATCAAGAGCCACACAATCATTCCAGCGTCACACTAACATTTCAATACCGCTTTTGTAGAACGATTTATCTTTTGCCTCAAAATAGGGCTCAGTTTCAGCAATAACCTTTTCATTCGAGCGAAATTTCTCACCAGTGAGCACTCTTGAGGTCTGCGAACAGTGACTAGTGGCTGGGTGGATTTGGGAGCAATTCAAAATCCAATTCATGTAGTTTTGCCATTGTTTTGTCTTGATGAAACTAATTTTTTTTGCCATAGGCGAGCGTTTGCAATTTTGGCCTTCAAACACTCCAATAACGCTATATAATATTCACTGTTGATGGTTTTTCCCTTCTCAAGATAGTCGATGAATATTACACCACGCATATCCCAAAATACCGAGGCCATAACCTTTCCAGCCGATTGTTGTGCTTTCGGCCGCTTTGGACGAGGTTCACCAGTTGCTCTCCACTCAGATGACGAATAAATCTAAAGCAAATGAACTTCAAACGTTCAATCCAGTCTCGATATACCTACAAAGTAGGTTTAATGAAATGACGCCAATCAGAAACCAACTATTCCCCTGGCTAATAACACGAAGGGCGTTGGATTATATCCCACAGGCGTCAGTGCAGGAATCTTCACAGAAAATGTCTTGCATATGCAATTGGCAATACAACTGAAAGAGTCGACCTTCAATTTTGGAACGGGCACACTTGCAGACCGGTTTCGGGCTCATTAGCCACTCATCAGTGCAAGATAGTGACCATCATCGACCTAAAGTCAATGATATTCCATAAATGAAAATCGGAATTCTCGCAGAGTATTTCATTCCTCTTCCGAGATCAGATGACTTTATGTCGATGATGGTCACTATCTTGTACTGACGAGTGGCTAATGAGCCCGAAACCGGTCTGCAAGTGTGCCCGTTCCAAAATTGAAAGTCGACTCTTTCAGTTGTATTGCCAATTGCATATGCAGAAAAGTTTCTGTGAAGATTCCTGCACTGACGCCTGTCAGATATAATCCAACGCCCTTCGTGGTATTAGCCAGGGGAATAGTTGTTTTCTGATAGGCGTCAAACCATTAAACCTACTGTGTAGGTGTATCGAGACTGGCTTGAATGTTTGAAGTTCATTTGCTTTAGATTTGTTTACTGTCAGTCTTCAAGCAGAGCCCACTGACTAGTAAGACAGATGACGATTATTTTAATTCCGGAGTGAAGTGATGGATTCGTTTTTCATATATTGACGCAAAAATTACGGTTTGTTATGTTTAATCTTTGGAAAACACTGTTCAGAATCATCAAGTTCTTGTTTTTGGTAAACAGCGAGCTTGCACGGCACCCACTTTGAACAGTGCTTTCTCATAGTCAAATGCTCATGTAATATACAGTGTTTCCGCAAAGTATGGAATAAATTCGATATTTCCAAAACCAAAGGTCGTTTTACAAAAACCTGAAACACGTCGATTTTTAATTTCAATATTCTACATTTTACACCAAAATTTCAGGGTGATTCATATTAATGTGATGACGTCATCGGTAATTTTTTGAAATGCCACACCCTGTATTTAGTATCAGTTTTAGATAATCCGTAACGAACTGATTCCGAAAAGATATGATACTTGGGGTCTAACGGACAGGATTTGAAAGATGTGCGCTTAGAAAATAAATTTTATTGATATCTAATAAAAGTAGAAATTAATTAATTTTATTTCATATTTTTATCTAATGATTAATTAGATAAAAATATATATTTTAAATTTTCGAACTGCTGAAGCAGAATCTAATTGAAATCAGTCACTCATGAATTTACCAACATCATTTAACCTAAAAATGCATATTGATGAGAATCGTCCCCTAAAAAAAAGGTAATGCGGCCGCCGCTGGCCGTCGTAAAACAACTGGACCAAGGGAGCCCAGCCGGCATTTCTCGGTTGATTCTGTGGAATATTCTACCGGCTTCAATGGATTTCTGAGAAATTCTCCGCTTTCGGGGTAGTTCGTTTGCCGCATATAAACGCTACATAGGAGTATATCGGTTTAGTCAAGTTTCGCGGACAGTACGGTGCAAGACGATCTTACAAAGCGATATACATTTCAATAATAGTTGAAGTTTTAATTAAAGTGTTTTGTTATATTAAAACTGAAATAAAGTTAAGTTTGATTATTATTCAGTGTAGTCAATTGTTGATATACCCACAGGGAAAAACGTAACAATATTGACTTTCTGACACGTTTAACACGAAGCTATTCATTTCAGTTCATACTTTTTGTGAATAAGACACACCATTCCCAAAAATGAAAGACCTACCAAGATTAGAATCTTATTTTCCACAAATAAAGGACGGCATGGATCCCTATAACTAGCCTTGTAAGAACGCATTGAAAAGAAATGGCGCAAAATTTCTCCCGACAGCAAATTTCATAACGTAAATGGGACTCAATTTGAGCAAAGTAAACAGATCTTGTAATAGCAGTATCTAACTCTTTAGCTAAAAACAGCACTTTTGCAAGTTTTCTCGGACCATTTCGAATGATGTACATCAGTTAAAGTCGGGATCTATAAGAATGAAATCTAAATATGAATAGAATATGATAGCTATAATAATCTCTACACAAAACAATAGTATATTATTCAACAAGCGAGAAATGTGACCATTATTCGTGAAAACGAAGTTTTTTGAGCGGGTAATTGTAATTTTTAGCGATAGGAATATTTCTAATATTTTAAAATATAAATTAAATTTAAAATATAAATATTTTACATTTGAAGCATATCCAGAATGAGAGAAATACCATTAAACTCCATAACCGAAAGCTTCCTTAAAAAGCATTCAGACATATTTTTCAGTTTTATTCTTGTCGCAGCTACAAGGAATCCGATATACCCCTAGTATTGCTAAAGGCTCTCTGGGGTCCCCAGCTAACCTTAAGAGTTTCTCTGATAGTTTTCATTGGCCTAAATATTGGTTTCACGTCGTGTTTCTCTAAAATTTCTCCAATCCGTTCTGTAACATTTTTAATATAGGGACGGTAAGCATTTCCCTTGACTAGCCTAGATGGGGTACCCATTCCCTTTTCAAGATATTGAGTTCAAGAAGACTCTCAAGCTTACAGATACTTCGTGCTCTCTCAACTAACTTTTTAATTGCATGTTTGGCTGGTTGTTCAGGTACCTGTTTGTGTGTGTTGGTTTCCTGTACATTCTGTGGTCCAATGTACCATCATTACGTCTGTTCACAAGGCCATCCAAAAAGGCTGGAGTCCTTTGGGTTTCTCTTTCCATTGTGCATAGGATTTTTAGGTTGTGAGGGTTTAGATATAATAGAAAATCGTTTAGTGTCTCTTCACCGTCTTGCCATACCACAAATGTACCATAAATATAATACAGCCAACAATATGGCTTGACGCTCGCTTGCTCTAAAGCCCATTGTTCGAAATTTTCCATAAAAAAGTTTGCCTCCGCCGGACTTGATGGACTGCCTATTACGGTACCATCCGTTTGTTTGTAAAAAACACCACCCCACTGAAAATAGGTTGATGGTAAACAATGAGCAAAAATGGCAGTTATATCTGCTGGGAATACTTCGCCAATTAGCCGTTTCGTGTCGTTGATCTGAACCATCATGTACAAGGGAACCACATCGTCGAAGCTCACTAGTATGTCTCCAGGACCTAACTTTGTATCTCTACTCTTTACGATGAAGTGTCCCGAGTCTTTGATAAATGACTCTGTATTTTCTATAGAATCGGAAGCAAATTCCAGTATTGTAGAGTCTGGGTTGAGAACAACTCAAGCACTTCATTTTCAGTGTGCATTTAAAATTGATATTTGTTTGCATTGACAGTGAAAACAAAATAGGTATAAGAGCAAATCTTTCAGGAATTCCACAATTTCACAACATGTGTCTGATCAAATGAGTACAATTTGAACCTGTTGACAGCCCTGAGAACTGAGACGTTATTTTACAAGTTCGGGGGCTTATATTGTACTTATGTCAGCTGCTGAATAGAAATTATTAAAGTTGTTGTCAAAGTTATTGAAATCTTAGAGTTTCGCCTAATATAAGAACCATTTGTAAACACTCTTTCTTATCTCCCAATTCCAAAGCAATGAATATTTCTGAGCAGTATTTCATGATTCATACACTCAACTGCCTGTGATAAATGACAAATCTGCCAACTGAGAATTGAAAAATTGGAACAGTTGTTTTTCTTTCATTCTTTGTTTTTTAATAATTATTTTTGGTAGAGTTGGGATAAATGACACTTAAATTTGGCATTCAACATCTCACCAAACTAATGAAAAGTTTTCACCACATAAGTTTTGAAAACAAATAGAAATATTCCTAAGAGGAGAATTTCTTTTGTCAAAGCAATCAGAGGTGAGTTTTCAATCATTCTGAAAATTTGTTCCTCACAACATCTTTTCATTTTTCATCTTGCTTGTCAATTTTCACAACTTCTTGAATAAGTGTCATGTGCCTTAATTTATTTTCTTCAAATTAATCATAGAGTTCTGAAAACTAAGTAAAAGAACCTCTGAAAAACAAGCAACGGTAACATCCTGGAACATTGAACGAAGGTTGGAGAATGATCTCATTTTGCTGTCACTTCCAATGGAAAGTGTTTGAGTGATGGTCCATTTGGTTCCTCCACGCAAAGTGATAAGACAGAAATAATCATCGTTTCAAGATTAAACTTAACACACCTTGAACTGATTTTTTTTTATTCTTTCATTCGGGAAATGGCATACTTTCTTGTGAGATAAACATTCCAAGACAGGTTTTTAAGACATAGAATATAATCTACAGTAATTTAAATCGCACATAAATTGCCACTTTTGCACAGGCACCTCTCTCAAATCTTTGAAGTTTTTCCTAAAGAGCTTATGAATCTTCTTACTGAATATGAGAATTTATGTTCATACCACCAACTGAAGAAGCAATCTAGTTGTGGAAGCGTTTTCGAGTTCATATTCTTAATTTTATTATAGAAAATGAAGAGATATACCATGAAAGATTTTTGTAACAAAATGAGTTCCTGTGAAAGTCCTAATGAATTCAGTTCCCCAGATCTTTCCAGGATTATTTTCAACAATAATATTTGCAACCGTCATTAACTTTTATTTATGAAAAGAGTTAAGGGAAAAGCATATTTTAACAGAAACAGACAGATTTTAATAACTAACTTTGAGTTAACATTTGCAGCCTGAAGCAATATAATTAGGATTAAACTTTAAAAAGTATTAATTATAACATAGGTCTAGGTATGTATTTGTAGTGGCCCTTATATATTGGCTAAAGCATTCTTCAGGGCAACTTTGACTTTTTTTTATTCAGATGTTATGTAATCGAGAATTTAAAAATGTTTTTGACAATATTCTATCTTCAAATAAGTCATAAAAAGTTCACACAGCTATGCCGGGAACTTGTTTATGAAAAACAACTTTTAATGAATCATATTATCCAAGTATCCATGAAGCGTACATAAAACTCTATTCAATTTCAGATTAAAACAATTGCAACTTACCCACCTCTTGACAGTAAGCCTTGGAAAAGATGTTGAGTTTATCCATGCCGATGTGGACTTATCAAACACAAATATTTAAACTACCCGTAATACACACAGTGTTGAAAATAAAAATTATTAAATAATATAAGACGAAAACAGCGAAATTAATTTATTTTATCATAGCTATACACTTCAAAGTTATATCTTTGACAATTGCTGAAGCAGATGAATGCCAAATTTGGCAAATTGCGGATTGTGAATTGCTGGTGGCGCGCTCCGCTCGATGCTGGATTTGTCGACGTAATTTGAAGTAATACAGGCCGTGCGTTCCACTAACCGCTCAAGAACACGTTCACGACCGCTGTTTTCCCCGTTTTACTTGCTTGCGAACGTAATTGTCGTAATCAGAAATGGAATGAATTATGGAGCGTTTTGGGGGTTCATGTAAAAATTATAAAGGGCGAGGTTTAAAAAATACAGTAAAAGTTTTAAGGAGGTTTCGTGAGCCTTAACAATAGGTTTCAATAATTTCAAGCTCACTTCATTTACATTAAGAAAGACGTGAAGATTTTAAACAAATCAAGTTCAAATGTGATCGAAATGTCTTTCACGGCAATTAGATATCACTTGACGCGTCGCAACCGTGCTCCGTAAACTAGTTCAGATGAAGAGTGGAATGATTTACTTCATAAAATTATAATCGTTAAAACAGAAAACTCAGGTCACGTAATATTGATTATGAAAATGTAATTCATCGTTATTCAGATAAAGAATTCAAAAATCATTTCAGGCACATGACTTTCTATAACATATTACACTGTAAATTTTGATAATGTCATTCATGTCTAATTGCCCATTATACTATGAATTCAGGCCACTCCTAAATTCACTTCATAATGTGTAAGTAATTATTCCGTAGATTAGCTTATGAGATTGAATAATGAAATGAGTTAAGAAATTGAAAATAAATTAGGAATGACAGATAACATTCATGTCATATTTCAAAAACACGTTCAAAAATTGCGCAAAACGTTCACTTTGATCCACATCTTCAGATAGGTCGTTATGACATTACCGTGAACGAAAGTAAATATTTTTTGTTTGAAGGTGGTTGACAATGTTTCGTGATGCATTTCATTAGTATTGACAGAAAGTAAAACTTTTTCCAGATACAAACTGGAAGATACTATATATCTGAAACAACTACTTCTTCTGTGGATACTACATAACATTAAAATGAACAGTTCAAAAATAACGTCATTACGAAAGTAATGACGTCATTTGTGACGTTTTCACCGCGTCCTTAACGACCGCGGTTGTTATGCGGAACGGCTAAAATCCATTTTGATCGTTGTGAGAGCTTAGTGGAACACACAGTAATCATGCGTACAACATATCGGGGTTCACTGATACAAAAATATTTATGTACAACTGTCATTAAAAGTGACATTTCTAATGGTTGTCAAGAGTATTAAAAGATGATGTTCACAAAGTAGTGTCTAAAAAATATGTTTAACACTGTTGCAGGTTTTTACAGGTTTTCCTCCAGCTGAAAAAGCAAATGCGCTACTGGAATCGATGATGTCGCTCCGGAGCGCTAATTAATTTTGTTGTTGTTTTAGAATTTCATGATTTGTATGTTGGAGTTATCAAATTGATTTTCAACACTAGTGTTGAAAGTACTTTTAACACGATTTTTTCGACCAAATAGCAATAAACGAATATAATTATTTAATTTTCAAGGAAGTTGTATTATGAACAATAGATATAAATACAATTAAGTTCTGTTGCAAATGTATTATATACATTAAACACCCGCAAGAACTTTGAATGTGTCTTTAAATAAAATTATAAACAATACTGTTTGTTGGTAACCAGGTGATTCGGCGTCACCTGACACGGCCACTTCACAGCAAATGCGATAATATGAAAATAGTTAACTGACAAGAGATGTCCAAATTAATTTGCATGTTTTTATAGTAATATTAAATTTATCTATTTTATTATGAAAATCATTGTCTGTGGTATCCGTATTTGTATTTTTTTTTTCTAATATAATGTCAAATCGACCTATTTGAATTGTGAATCATTGTCACTATAATTAATGTGATACATATTCACAAAAATATTCTGCAACAAAGTTTACATTGTTTTCTTTCATTTGGAAACAGTGGAAATTGGAAATGATAGAAATTTCATTGAACAGATTAAATTTTCAAACTTGGTTTTGGCATAGTTAGGTACAGTATTCCTTTTTATTACAGCAATTTTCAAAGGCATGACAATAATATTTGCCAAGGTTTACTGAAGTTGAATTGTAGGATTAAAATTAAATAAACTCCTATCAAGACAAAAATGAACACCTCCGAAGAACCAACTCAAAACTATTCTGCACTTTTGAAACCTGTTAAATTGGTAATTTCTGTACTGTTCCTAATAGAATGAAAGAATAATCATATTTTTTTTAGGAAACCCTTTTGAATCATTTGGAAATATCTGTATCGGAGTCTGAAAAGCGTGTAAATGGTTCTCTGAATCTCCGAGATTATTACACAGTTTATTTAATTGAAATCAAGTAAGTGGAATCAATAATAATTTTTATTGATGTAATGCACATAATTGATCTATTTTCAATATTTCAACTTTCAAGATCTATGAATTATGATTTGAGGTGACTTTGAATTTTTGTCTAATTTTTTATTGAGAAATAATCTTCGTTCTCTTAGTCAATGCACAAACCACTAATGACCACAGGTCACCACAGATGAGCACAAACCACAGATGAAAAATTTGGTAGGACAAGTTACATTCAACCACGGTCTACTTACCAGTTTTCTCTAATCATGATTCCGGCCAGGAAAGCCTATGTTCTTATATTATGCATTGGTTGTTCATCATCACCCAAAAAAAGTACATCATCAATCTGTTTAGTCAGAAATACTGTTTATGGAACATTTCTGAAAATGCAGTAATCAGTGTTCATCAGCAGAAGTTCTTCTATTTCAAGGAAATTTGAGAACTTTTTATTCCATTTAATGGAGGTTCTTGTTAACTGCACAAATATTTGTTGAATTGACAAACATAATTATTGTTTTCAAAACCTTCTGGAACAGTCATCAGTATTTTTGTATCATGTGTTTGCAAGTATACTCTACTAAAATTACTAACTTCCGTCTTCAGATCGTTTACTTTGAATATATAGGTATTCATTTGAAGTAATTTAAAGTAATTCAAATAAAGATTATCTATTATATCAGCTACATGAGGAATATTACCGAAACATTTTGAGGCTTTGTCATAAATTTCATATATTCTGTATTGCAGAAAACCATTAATGTAATGGTGATGTAGAAATATTATTTCAGCTCTGTAATTTTTTTTCATTTCCTTTTTTATCGACAAGTTACAGGAGTATTTTTATTGTGCAAAATACTTTAAATATTCGCAGTAACTTATTGGTTGAACTAAAATGTTTGCCCTTTCTGCACCTGCATTAAGTTCTCCATTACAATTTTTTATTTTTAACACTCTTTTATTCACATTTAGAAAGGTGAAAATCCTTAGAAAAGTCAATAAAAACTCTGATTTCCTTCACAAAAAATGACTTTTGTCCAATTTTTTCCATTCCTCTTTCATGAATTCTTAAAAAGCTAGCAAGTTATCCGAGTACTTCTTGCATTTTAATGCAATTGGTATCTCAAATTAACGAGTAATTTATATAACTTCTTATCGAGTCTGGAAAGTGTTAATTAATTGAGTGCATCATTCATTTCATTTCAAGGATAAATCAGTTCAACTGAATATCATTCAGTGTAATATTTAAAAATTGAATATCTCAATACAAGCAGATGTATACTTTTAGGGTTACAGATCCAAATTTCCAGACTAAAGTTGGAAAATTAACAACAGTATGGAGAAGGTACACAGAATTCGAGCAGTTGAGAGATTATTTGGAGGTTACTTATCCTTATATTGTTTTGCCTCCTTTGCCTGAAAAAAGAGTGATGTATGGCTGGCAAAAAATATCCAGTGACACCTTTGACCCCAACTTCATTGATCGAAGAAGAGCAGGTTTGGAGAATTTTCTGTTAAGAATTGCAGCTCATCCGATTCTCACGTGGGACAGTCATTTTTTGGAATTTCTACAAGAAGAAGAAGGTTGGAGGGAGACTTATAAGGCTAATGGTAAAGTAACATTTCAATGATCAGATGAGAAAGTGGAAATAAACCTTTTTTTTTAATCACACAATTTTTTGCAAAAAATGATTTCCATTTAATGAACTCAACAAGATTTACAAGATTAGACACAGCAAATAATACATACAATACACAATACATTTTGTTCTCAATTATTCGAATAGTTATACATCCTTTGGTAATTTTTCATTGTGTTTCTTAATATCCTCTTATCGCTAAAAAATTCTGCTATCTTGTCCCTAGGATTGGTGGGATATGATGTCAGAAGCTTTTTATGAACAGGTATAGTAGTCTTCTTTTGAGTTTCCTGAGATTTGGTTATTGTAGAATAAATGGACATGGCTTGTGAAACTAGGTTGGTAACATCTCCAGTATTGGCAGGAAGGACCAGAGTATTATTTGTTCTCGCCAATTTATTGAAAGCACTAATGTACTGCTCTGCGATACTAAGTGAAGCTGCATTGGGTCCCAAATTTTTCTGCAAGGCTTCAGCCACCAGTTTCAAACCCCCGACCGAACTTCAGCAACTGCTAATATAGCTGCAGCTTCACCAGCTGTCTTATTGATCTGCTCTTGCCTTTCAGCTTCCGAAGCCAGAATTCTTGACTTCCTCTTACCTGCGGCTATATTAATGTCAGCTTCGCGAACACCTTCGAACTCTAAAATAGCGGCTCTCTTCTTTCTTTCAGCTTCCACTTGCATTTGCATGGCTTCTTGAACTCTAGGAGGCAGTTTGATGTCCCTTATTTCGTAACGCAAGCATGCCATTCCCATGCCTCGCTAGCTTTGTTGATAGAGTCGACAATTGAAATATTCAAGCTTTCTCTTTTTCTGAAAACTTTATCTAGGGATATTTTTCCTAGCTCAGATCTCATTGTAGTTTGAGCAAACTGCCTTATTGCAAATTCGGGATCTTCGACGCCGTAACTTGCTAGGTATGGATCTACTAATCTCAGATACAATACTCCGTCTATATTGAGAGTTACGTTATCGGAAGTAATTGCGCTTTGTTTGGGAATGTCGACTTGCGATTTCCTTGAGGCTCTGAACATATTTGACTCTGTCGGCAATAGGTATCAGTATATTTAAGCCTGGTTCTAGTATGCGATGGAATTTTCCCATTCGTTTCACAAGCCAGGCCTCCTGCTGAGGAACAAACATAACGACTGTGTTCATTGGAGTGTAGGACTTTTGTCTGATATTAGCACTTTGATTTTCAAGTCTAAGTACATGATTTTTCAACACAACCCTGCTTAAGCTTCTCGAAATCATTTCTATCACACAACTTTACCTGTATGTTATAAGTAAAAATATTTAATAAATAAAAAAATATTCAAATAATAATCAAATGTATAACCTAACATTTGACATTTACTGTCAGTCATTCTGCAGGATATCTTCAGCTGGTTGAAAATAAATTGAAGAGTATAAGCGTGTCTGTTAGATTGAAAAGGTGTGACCCAAAATTCAATACCCTCAAGGATTATGGAGGAATCCTCTATACAAATATCAATAACCTACTGAAAGCTCGATCTAGAGTGGCTGAAAAACAATATAATGTTCACAAACTTCATGCCAATTATGGGCGAGTTTTCAGCGAGTGGAGTGTGATAGAAAAAGAAATGGGAGACGCTTTACAAAAAACTGGTCACTATCTTGACTCGTTGGCGTCATGCATAGACGCAAGTTTAGAAGACGAAGAACTGCTGGCTGATCAATTGAAAGAATATCTGTTTTTTGCAAATTCGCTACAGAATGTCTGCAAGAACCACGAGATTTTACAGTTGCAACTTGAGGATGCAGAAGATATTGTTGCAAATAAGAACGTTGAACGTACTAAAGTACAGCAGGGTAAGACAGGATTGATGTCGAAGCTGTTTGGGGCTGTTGATTCAGATGAAGTTAGGGAGTATAAGGTGAATTCATTGGACCAACAGATTCAGGAAGGGGCTAAAACTGTCAGTGATACCAAAGAAAATTTGAGGTAAGATTTGTCGAGGTAATGAACAGTTATTTATAAAGTCAGTTGGCATTTGTAATTGTAAATGAGTTTTTTATGTGAGAAAGCAGTTGTCTAATTATCTTCTGATTATATTTGGGTAAATTTGCTTACGAAGACATAGAAATCAAGATCACAAATGGGGTATATTAAAAAAAATACACTTCAATGTGAGATTTCCATTTGAAAGTTAACAAAACAGCGACACCTGTTTTGCTATACACTAGCATCTTTGGGCGTCATCAATCAATCAATCAATACTTTATTGTCATAAAGAACAAGGAATTCTTGTGGACAAAGTACTTATATAAATAAAACACTAAATGCTAAAAGGTACAATTTGTCAGTCAACATATAGTATAAAAATCCTTAACAATAAGAAAAAAAATAAGTAAATAAAATAAATGAGAATCGAGTTTGAAATCCTTGGCAATAAAAAAAATAAGTTAATTAAAAGGTATCCACATAAAATTCTTCCAAAGTATAATACGGGCGACTACACAGTAAGAAGTAAACAGCCTTTTTAAAATTGAGTTCGGCTTGGGTAAGTTAATACTGTTTTGCTTGCGTGTAATGCAAACCACAAAAAGTGGTTTGCATGGATCACGCGCCTTTGCATTCGAAATGTATCTAATTACTCTTTTTTGCGTAATCAGGATGCTTTTCATGACATTATTATTGCATACTTCCCAAAATGGGGAGCCGTATCATAATACTGTATTTTAATATTGTAATGTTCAAAGTTGTTATAGTACAGCGAAACACTTGTCGCGGTTTTGTTAACTTTCTAGTGGAAATATCACATTGAAGTGTGTCTTGGAATACGTTATAATGGATTTTCATCAAGTATCTGTCAGTTCTATCATACAAATACAATAACTTCATGTTACTATATCAAGTGATGTGATTACAATTGTAGCAGGCAAAAAATTATTGCTTAATCTAGTTTTAAAACTTTGTTTTGGTTCAAGAGTTTTTTTCATTCCATATAAATAGACCATGTTTCCCTTCACAAAAAGGAATGGCATTCCGTGTTGTACCCTATCAAAAACAAATTACAAAAGTTCAATTTTAGTGAGGATACACTACAAAAACACACTTTTGTCTATTTTCCAAGATATTTCTTTATTGTTGACTACTTTCGGCTATTACACCATTTTCAAAACTAACTGATTACCTTTAAATCTGAGTAATTTAAAGCTAAGTTGCCTATCCTATCATAAATAATTTGGTACCTACAATTTTTATACCTGTAATATCCATGAACATAACAAAACAAAGCTTTTGATATAATGTAGGTTTTGGGAACTGGATTATAGGTTCAGGAGAGGACTATTATTTAGATCAAGTTGTTCATTGAGGACAATATAATTGGGATTTTTCTTTGACCTGTTTATTTCCATAGATTCCAACAAATTCATCATTTTCCCTTTTTCACATGTGTGAAGGATCTTTGAATTATCTTTATCTTTTGAAAATGGTGTAATAGCGGACACTAGTCATATATCACACATATATCACATCCGAAATCTCTGCTGATGGTAACTCAGGGTTTTTATCCGATGAAAAACAAAGTAATAACTATTCATTAAAAATACTTCAATTGAATGCACAGTCAGTGACTAATAAAATTAACAAATTGGAAGTTCTCGCATCAGAAGAGAAACCGGACATTGTTAGTATTGTTGAACACTGGTGTGATATTGAAAATATTGAGTTCATATCTATACCTGGTTATGAAATTTTGTCGCTCAACTCATATACATGGGGGAACGGCAATTTATGTTAAATCATCCAATGTATCGCGGAGCCTAAATTTTGAGAGATGGTCCGAAGAAATCCATTGTGAATGCAGTGGGATAAAATTAGTTATAGAGAACAGAAAGATTTGTATACTTAGTAGTTATAGATCTCCAAACGGTAACTTTGATACATTTTTGCATAAATTATTTTGCATATTAGAGAATAGTGTAGGCTATGCTGATGATATCTTTGTATGTGGTGACTTGAATGTCAATTACCTAGAAAATACTACTGAAAAGATCCAATTAGATGAACTACTACTCAATTTCATTTCACAAGTGACATCTTTGACTCCTACTAGAGTTTTTACCAACCAGTCAGGGAGAACTTCATCTACTATAGTCGATTGCATACTAACATACGTTGAGAACATGTTTTGCAAATCTAATGTTTATGAAGGTAGTTTCAGTGATCACAAAGTATTCACAGTTACTTATAATATGCCATTAGTGAAATATAAAATTGTTGAACAATCTTATGTTATGTATAGAGATGTATCAGAGCATAACTTGAAACAACTCTCCTCGACATTGTCCAAAACCAGTTTTGATGTAATATATAACAAAACTGATATAGATGAGAGCTTTCTGGCCTTCATAAATATTATAAGTGATGCTATCGATAAATGTTGTCTGACCAAAAAACACAAATCGTCCACTTGTAACAAACATAAGATAACTCCTGAAGTGAAACAGGTCAGTCTTGATTTAAAAAGTATGCATTGGTTATGTAAAAATATAGGCAACGAAGATTCTTGTGCTGCATACAAAAAAGCAAAGAAAGACTATGAATCATTGGTAAAAGCTTCAAAGTTGAATTTTTAGAAAATGTAATTAAGAATTCGAACAATAAAAATAGAACAGTTTGGAACCTAGTCAACGAAGAAACGAACAGAAAAAAAATTCAAAGAGATATTACTCTCAACTATAATAATAAAGTAATCACAGATAGAGATCATGTTGCGAACATATTTGGGGACTATTTCTCTTCAGTGGTAGAAAATAGCTTAGCAGACCATTTTGGCGACAATAGATCATCCGTATGCACGGTTTCTGGAATTGAATCGAATACTTTTTTCTTTATGCCCGTTAACGAATGTGAAATTGACGCAGTAATTAACAATCTAAAAAATAAAAAAAGTACAGGAATTGATAATATATCAGTGAGAATTTTAAAAGAAATTAAGTTACACATTTCAAAACATTTAGCTTATTTGTTGAATCTATCAGTCACAAGTGGCAAATTCCCTTCAATTCTAAAAACAGCCATGATCATACCAGTTCATAAGAANGAAAAATATACAAAAGTATGTTTTTGTAGTGTATCCTGAGTGAACATGAATTTCCACAAAATAAACAAGTCGTCAATCAAAGAAGTTCAACTTTAGTGCCATTTTCCAAATTCTCTCTTGGAGATTGAGTATACCCTAACTAGTGTATCTGATTGAAAGTTAGATTTTATACATAATTATTTTTAGAATATATCTCGTAGTGCATAATATATTCGTTAGCAATGTTCTCTCTTTTTTCAAGTGAAATACAGTCTAATGACTCATTTCTTCCCCAAAATTACGACTTCTCCATCATTATACAAAAAAAAATTTGTAAACTTTTGAAGAATGGGCGTTTGGAGTACTGACTGAATAAAATAACTGATTTTTTTGTATTCAATGTTTGCATCCTGTAAAGTAGTTGTTTTCATTGGATTTTTCATTCCAGTTTGTATCTGAAAGTAACTTCTGTGCACGAACTACACGTATTCATAAAGAGCTTTCATTAAAGTTGATTACTTTTTTAACAAATTTTCCATATTTTTTGTTTGATGATGAAGAAGTAGAAAGCCAAGAAGATTTTTGAAAAAAATCAATCTCTCCTATATCAACAATATTTCCATTTCAATTCAAATAACATTGGCAAGTTACAATTTATTCCTTCATTAAAATTAATTCATGTTCTTCCACTTAACTTTATGTTAGCATTTAATAGCAAAGGGAATATGTCACTGAAAATAAAATTTTGAGAACAAAATAAATAATACATTTCCTATGAATGTTACATTATTTAGTTTGTACCACTAATTGAAAACACTTTGGGACAACAAGGACTAATCTTGGTTTTTGACATTCCAAAGATACATTTTTTATTAAAATTATACAACAAACTTCGGAAAAAGTCAACTGGTATATTTTGGTTTCAATTCATATTCATACTGCAATTAAATCTCTTAAAGTTACTGTGCCGGCAGTAGAGACATTTCTTTAATGACGTCACTATGCTAGTCAGGTACATTTATTAAATGGTCCATTTTCATATTAAGGTTACATGTCGCCACTTGATGCTTAGTCGTTTTAACTATAAATACAACGATCAGTCAATGAATGATTGTGTTGTATGAAAGGAGAGAAGTTTAGCACTCCCCTTGGCAAGGATGGAATAACACATATAAGGTTAAGGCACACTTAACCGCATTTTTTTTTACAAACTGCTTTGTAAGTAGATTTTGATTATGTTGTATTTCGTGAATTTATTGTACACTCATGCACACACTACATTATAAACTATCTCCATAATGTACAGTTTTTGGAAGCTTGTGTATCACATTACTGGCGTAATTAAAATCTGTTCTTATGGGAGAGGGGTTGTCTTTTCATTTAAAACTTTTTATATTAAATGCAAAGAATATCTCCTGTGAGTCGACAAGTAAATTAGAAATTGGATCTGATAAATTGAGTTATCACAACACTACAAATAATTTATATTTTACAACAATAATAAAAATAAAAACAATAAAAATTAATTGGCCCTCCGGGGCGACTTCATTGATTCCAGTGGCGCATTTGCTTTTTCAGTTGCAGGAAAACCCGGAAAAATCTGCGGCACCACATCATCTGAAGATTTTGATCTGCCAATGTTCTCTCTCTCATAAAACAAAATGAAGGGTGTCTCCATAGTTGAGAATCGCTCAAATTTTTTTCATAGATTATTATTATGCCATAGGTTATTAAGACATAACTTTACTAAACTATCTATTTAATTTTAACTATTCATAATCTGGTTGGTCATCAAATAGACAGTCAATGAAATAGAAATTTAGGGTATCTTTCTTTTCTTTGACTGTTCAACTGTTGTAATCTCTTCAGGTCTCTTGAATTATATGTCTTTCCTGTGACAAAAATAAAATTAATATTGTATCATCTGTATAAAATAAAGCATATTCCTATTTGAATGCATGCAGGGTAATATATCAACTACACTTCCTTAGACATTTCTTCAATTGGTGACTCAATGAAGTTACCGGCAATAAATACTAAAAGAATATTTAATTACACCAAGTACAACTGATTTCATCTCATCACATTTCGTTTTTCAGAGATTTCACAGACAACGCTTTGAACGACATTGAAAGATTTCAAACACAAAAAGTTAGTGATCTCAGGGATACTCTTGGTAATTATGCATTCCTTCAACTAAAAACTGCAAGGAAGGTAAGTCCTCAATCCTTCTCAGAACAGACAGTTAATGATACTTGTTTGTCTAGGGTCTGCAGAACTGGATGCAAATACGTGATTGTTTGCAAAATATTCCATAGAAATAAGTTAAGAGTAAATATTTATTTTTATAAATTTATGCAAGCTTGGCTTACTGTATATAATCATTTATTGATTTATTGTTGATGTTTTCATAAATATGTCTACTGTCGCATTTCATAAATGTTATGAAGGATTTTAATAATGTATTCATTCCAGTTAAATACCTTATATCATAAATTATTCATATACTGCAAGTAAAATATGAAAAGATTAAATTGATGTTTTACTTTTGTCATTATCCTAATCAGATAACTTCAAAGCAGTGTTGGAGCCTGTTAATATTTTTGAAACAAATACAGTAGTATGAATTGATCTGAGGACAAGCTTTTGATGGATTCTCCAATATGAGTGGAATATTTAGAGTATGCAAGCCCACATTTTCCAGATTCAACCTTTTGCAATCTGTGGCTGTGCCACTGTGCCAACCATAGGCTAAACTTGGCTATAAGCAAAGCTTGTTCTGTTGGTAGCATCAGAAATGCCATGGGAGTTATATCTTCCCTGGCAAATTTTTCTGTGACTCCGCTGCAAGTTTCAATAGACATATTAAAACCTCTTGAAAAGAAGATACATTGAGAAGTTCATTAGGGAGACTTCTTACTATTTTATTGAATATTATTTCAGGCGAAATAATAGATCCTGATGTAGTCATTTAATCGTCAACATATCGTTTTCATAAATTCAAATAAAGTGGTTTAGGTACTCTAAAAAATATATAGAAAATAGAAGAGAAAATCAAAATGATAATGTGAATAAATAAGTTTTAATTTCATGAACACAATTTTCTAATTCTTGAGGGGGGCAAAGGTCTGCCGACTGACAGCCCCTCATCAGCATGCCTTTACCACCACATGACCCTGCAAAATAATTGGGTCACATAAAAAAGGGTTTAGTAGATCTGAGTACTTTGATTGTTTATTTATAATACTAGCGGCTCACTATAACCGTCGTCACTTCTAAATGAAGGGTTCGATTCGAATAATTTGAAAAGCAATATTCATGTGCATATCAACCTCAATTATGAAACTATTTCATCATGATACAGATGTCATCGTCTTTCGATTCTATTTATTGACTAATTTGCACAATGACTATAATAACTAGAAAAGACCATAATCCTCTTGAAGACTTACAAGTTGTTCAGTACCAAGCTGTTTTTCCATAAGATCTCTCCCTACAATAGTGAAAGTTTACAAATATTAATGGAGGATTGAAAAATGTCAATGCCAAAAAATACAGAAGTTGGGGTGATTCTTCAACGTTACATTGCTGACGGATTATGAATAGCCATGATGCATCGTGGCTCGGGGAATTACTAATATTGTCTATCCAGAACACAAGGCTAATGAAAAAGCTGTCGATGCCTTTGACACCGAAGAAATAAAATCACAAAGTTGTATTTGATGAGAAACATTTGAAATATCAGGCAAGATTCTGAAATAAAAAGCCATTAGTTTATCAGGGGTGAAAAGTTAAACACAGTGTACAGATATGAAAGGTCTACTTATTGGGTGTATCATACCGTGTAATTTAAACCTTTATGAATTTTTAATCATTATTGATATTGATACGTGTACTTGGATATCTATCCACAGTATTCAGAGGTATTTTATTCTATTTACAACTGTACCTCAACATCTTTCACTGCAAGTTTCAGTTATGTCAGACTTTGGTGATTCCACAAAAATGGGGTTAGTGACATGGATTACTTTATGTATGTTCATTTGCTTCTGGTTCCTTAGTAAATTTGCAAAAGGCAGAAGGCAGTTTCAAACAAATTTGCATGTGATTGAAGATGGTCTCAGAAGGATGCAGGAGGAACTAGAAACAAGAGAAGTTGAGAAAAATATTGGATGTATCGATGATGTGGAAGATATATCATCCTTCTTGCACAAATTCCATGAGAGTCAGGTGGGTTGTTAAGCTAGTTTTACTTGCATTCAGGAATTTTATCATTTGTTGAATCGTCTGTGTCTACATTTCAGCTTATATCTTGATTAAAATATTATATGGGAAGTATGTCCGGTTTTCTGATGATATTTTAAATAGTTATAACAAAATCTGCGGAAATATCTAGTTGAAACAGTTGAAGATAAATAATATTTACTATATCAAAATCACTCTGAAATTTTTGTGTGCACCAATTATATACTAATTCAAAACCAACTTTGATTTCTCTGTAGGAAAATGAAAAATTATTTTTTTGGACACCCTGCTGGGTTGATTCAATTTTAATATTTGTGTTATTGAATACATCTGAATAATGAATGAGGTTTATTGATTGAACACTTCGTTCCTATAAGATGAGTAGTTATGATGGTTTGTTGTCATTGAGTTGTTTCTATAGTTATAACAAAAAATAATCCGAGTCATTGAACATATACTACCTTTTACATGAGTTCAGTTCATTTTTCAAATGCAAAATGCGCACACAAAAAGTGGGTGTAGATGTCTTAAAAATGGTGTGCTCCTCTTGTTCCTATCTCGCCCTCGCATTTGTTGCATACATTCTTCTAAAACTTGTTTATGCTTGTTTTTGGTTTCCAAAATATCTGCAGAATCAAAAAACGGCCGAAGCAGATATGATGAAGAGTGAAGGAACCAAATCGAAGGAACTTGGAGATATGGAAGAAGATAAAAAGCATATTTAGAAGATTATACTGTTTTGATGTTATTTATGTGTAATATTCGCATTTTGTAGTTATTGATACTTTTGATGAATACATTTTTTCAAAAAAGTGCCTTACGTAATAATGGTGAATCTAGGTATTAGATATAGTCGATGGTTTAAATAGAGCGTGATCTATATAGAACCACATATTTTTATAGTATTTTGTTGATCTGTCCCAATTACGATGTTTCAGAAACCCCTTATTAGAAATCTGATATAATGAGCATGGTTTTGAAACGAAAATAGAGATACATTTTATTATCATGATGATGTCCCAAGTATCAAGTGAATATTCGAAATATATTTTTTGAAACATATATATCTATCATTCAAAAATAATTCAAATTCAATTTGAATTTATTTTTAATGATAGATAGAAATTATTCAACTCAATTGAACTGTTTTCCTATCTGTATATGATATAGTGTGAAGTATCAAATCTATTTGATGTTCTAGGATCGTGAAACAATAATCAAGAACTAAATCAAAAAAGAGGAATATTTTTGATAGTGACATAGCTCGAGTACCTATATTTGATGTTGGAAATCAAGTATTACTATTTCACAGGATAAAAAAGTTAAGATGCAGACATTAGTAAAACATATTTGACCGAGCGTATCACTTTTCTTTTTAATAAAATGAATCAGCTCAAAAAATTGTATAATAATATACAAAATGTCTTTAGATGCATATGTGTATATGTGAATTTCTTTGAAAAATTTCCAATGAAAATAGGAAAGTTTTCACATTATTCGCTTACATCTGAAGTTGTCAAGCACTTATGCACCGCCTGACAACGTGCTCCTACATGAAATAACTTGAAATGAAATAGTTTAAATTTTGAATTCCTACAACAATACATAATAAGGGAAGGTTATGTCAATAACTGTCTGTGCCACTTGGGAAACATCATGAGTATTCATAGTCCTGTTAGCCATGTAATGCCATCTTCAGGTAGATACATTCTCGAGAGAAAAATATGGAGATCAAATGTAGATAGTTTTTCAGTTACGAGATAGTTATTCAATTTCAGAACTCAGAAATATTCAAGTGAAAGATGCACTCTGAAATCACTTGAGGTGCGACATGTTACATACATATTTGTAAAACTGTACTGCTATAATTAATAATTTGTTAACTATACATTTTGACAAGGTTTTATCAGTACCTATGAACTGTAATAGTGATGATATTATTTTATTTCTATATCTTTCGTATTGACTCTTAATGCAATTGCAATTTGACACTTAGTTTTCCAATAAACACATGGAAGCGATAATATGGGGACGACAGCAGGATAAGAAAAAAACTCATTTGAGAAAAAATGTTCAGGAAATGAGTCGACAACTGCTCAGTGAGATAACGAACGGTGGGAGCTGTAAAACCCTCAACGAAAAGGTTGTCCTGTTTTCGGTCCGCGAAACTATAGTTACAGATAATGGGAGATGATTTTACAAATTACTAAAATATGCTATACAACATAGATCGTAACAGTTTTTTCTGCATTCACCACAACGTAAGTACGTTGAGGGAATTGAAGAATATATGATGAAGAAAATAACTTTTGTGTGTAATTTCTACTACGATTTTTATTTGCTATGACCGGCTTTGGTTTATTAAACAATTTTTGAGTAAACTGGTATTTTGACAAAAAAGGCCTCAAATATACAATGATTCAATGATTGGTACCTGCACTAGATTGCTCCAAATACAATCTACAAGTAGTGTTTCCGGATCAATAGTCGGTAATTTTGATATGTGAAGGAGTTGAATAATTGTGGATTTGATATTTCAGATACCTAAAGCAGGTAGGTACAAATCATTGTATAATAATAATACGGGGAAGAATAAAGTTGCTGCAACAAATATGCTTGCCGTTCCAATCTTAGTCTACTCGTTTTGAGTAGTGAAGTAGACTCGGGAGGAGCTGTATCAACTCGATGTAAAGACCCGAAAAATGATGCATCTCTATAGGAGTTTGCATCTGAAATCATCCGTTCTACGGTTGTACTTCCCTCGACAACAGGGAGGCCGTGAATAAAATAAATTATTATACAGACACCAAATCATTTGCGTAAACGAATGAGCCACGATCAGCATGAGGAAAGTGAACTACTCAAATAAATTCTATTTGAGTCTTGTTTGAGTTTTTCAATGTGTAGGATATGAATTGACTGGGCAGGATATTGTAGAATTTAAGTGTGTTGTATGAGAAGCTGCGAGTAAAAATAAAAACCTGTGTTCAGGAATGACCAGCACCAACCTGTTTCTAGTGGAAAAGCTGTTAATATTTGCGAAAGAATTGAATTTTTTCATTAAATAATGTAGCATTCCGGTGTTCAAGACGTTGTGGATGTTTGTGAGTAGGTGCAGTGTCCTGAGTTTTTCTAGTTGCAGCCAACGCTGATTCCTTCCTGACCGGTGATATGTGGTGGTATTTTCGAATGCCAAAAAAAATGGAGGCAACTGTTTTGGATTCGTTGAAGATGGAAGGAATCAGATTGTTTAACGCAAGGCTATGAAGGCTATTGCAATATGAAACTTTCGAAATGGTTAGCGCTTCACATAATTTTAGTTTAAGTTGTTTGGTATAAGTAAGTCCCGACTTGGAAACAGTTGCCTTAAGGTATTAAAAGACGTTTTGATCAAATGGCTAACGTGTTTTGTAAAGCCCAGTTCATAATCAAACCACAGGCCTAAGTTCTTTACTTCAGTTACAAAAGGCAGAACGTCACCATTTATATGAATATGAAGACTATTTGTATCATTGTATATTTAAGGACTTGTTTGTTAAAATGCCCCCAGTTTATTGTAAAATGGGTTAACAAACCAACACCGGTCGTAACAAACAAAAATCGTAGTAGAAATTAGAGAAGTTATTTTCTTTAACCTACATTCAATATGAACTTCTACAAAACAAATAGGTCATCAATCAAACAAGAGAATTAAAAAAACTTTGGTGTTTGAAGACCATGATTGTCGACTACAATTAACAATGTGTTTTTTGGGGTGTGTTTGGGTGTACATGTCATTGGCAGAATACTGGGAAAAAATTTAAAAAACGTATTTAAATTACCACATGATCAGGTCTATATACTGATAAATCACGAAATCAAAATAGCGCAGTAGATAACAACTAATTTATAAATTTCATGACGATTAAATTAGAAGTTATTAACATGCAATGTGAAATTATTACGGAGAAACAAACATTCATCCTGTCGATGCATCTTTCTTAACAGTAAGAGTTTTTCGAAGGGAGCTCTCCCAGTCATTTCTAAATTTGTTCATGCACATCTAACTAAAATTACGGAGCACGGGAGTCATAGACACTTCCAAAGATTACACTATCTGAACTATATTTGAAATTACAAGGTCTCGAAGTCATAACATAGTATTTCTTATAACTGTTATCAACTCTGTGAACTAGAGGTAAATAGGATTTCGTCTGTACAAAGGTTTCAAAAACTTCCACTCACAACCATCTAACATGGTTTCGAATACTAAGGTGAGTAGGTAATATATACCTTCATTTGATTATCTTTCTTATTAGTCAGTGGGTTATGCTTGAAAACTGGCAGTAAATAAATCTAAAGCAAATGAATTTCAAACGTTCAAGCCAGTCTCGATATACCTGCACAGTAGGTTTAATGAACTGACGCCTATCAGAAAACAACTACTCCCCTGGCTAATACCACGAAGGGCGTTGGATTATATCCGAACGTTTAAAGTTCATTTGCTTTATATTTCATTTGATTACATTCGTTACAAAACGTTATGGTTCTAAATTGTATCTATCACAGATTCAGAACTCGTTCGCATTCAGAACTTTCCAATGTATGTATAATGGTTCAATTACTCTGGAACACAAAAGTGTCATTACTCAATTTTGAATAAACGGATACTTATCGAATAGCAGAATAACTATTGAAACATTAAGAATCCAATATATAAAACAATGTCAGGAAATCCTGTCAGATACCATTTATAACTCAAAAATGGCTGGACCGATTTTCATGATTTTCGCTTTGTTGGATTTGTCTTTATCCGGAATAGCAAAATAACTATTTACACATTTGAAAAACTTAGCGAGAAAATTAAGATTTAACAAATTGACGGCGTTTGGTTTGCTAGGATATACGAGTTGTCATGATACGTGCAGAGACATTTGAGGTTATGACATTCGTGGTTGTGCGCGAATGAGCAATTATAATAAAAGCAAAGTCAGCAATATTCATCATAGTGATATTTACAATGCCACGTGTGAAAATAATGAATATTTCACATAGAGGTACATTTTATATAGACTTAGGTTCGGAATAGATGAACACTTCAACCTAGCAGACCGCTATTATAATCTTCATGCAGTCATTGCTCACTGTAGTTCTGGTGTTGAATTTCGTCATTATTCGCCTTGGTCAAAGACGAAACGGACTGGTTCAAGTTTGATGATAGTCGTGTCACGAAGTGTTTTCATGAGAAATAGCTTCTCCATCATATATATGACATTCATATAACCACTAGAGTTTGCTAATGTATGTTTTCTACAGATCGTACATACTTATACTAGGAAAGATGTACTTTTTATTTCAGAATAATATTCAATTATTTTGTTTCATTTTCTGAAACAGATGCATGAAATTTATGAGCGCCTTTGATTGTTACTGACTAATTAAAGCGTTGTAACATCCTGTATTTGTTTTGGATGCCCTGAAAATTAGCCGTACACTTGGTGATACATCAATCATTCAGTTATCTCTCAACAAAAAATCCAAGATGCTTGAGTATCTCTGTATCTGTAGAGTAGGGAGGGTGAGTGTAAGCCCACAGTACTTAGGCCAGATGTGACCCATTGTATATTCTCCCGAGGAGTTGTCGTCCTAGGTCCTCGTCCATCCTGTCCTTACCAGAGAGGTCGACAGGTCACTTGGAGACATCTCTTATATAAACAGGTGTGGGCCAAGACTCGCTGAACACACACTCTCTTATTGACGATAACTCCGGGCACTCGCATTGGACATGCCTGACAGTCTCATCTTCCTGTTCACACATCCTGCATAGAGGTGTGTCCACTAGCCCAATGTTATGAAGGTGTTTCCTTAGTTGACAGTGGCCAATCAGAAAACAGATGAACAACCAATACATGGTGGAGCCCTGAACTGGAACACCTCAGGAAGACAGCGAGAACAACCTTTAACAGGGCAAAACGTACAAGACTCGAAGAGGACTGGGGTATATATCAAGCCAACCTCAGAGAGTTCAAAAAAGTCTGCAGACGAAAACAAAGAGAAGCCTACTGTGAGGCAGTCGAAGACTTCCCACTAGCTTCTATGCTACAGAAGGCACTCTCGAATGGCCAATAGTATCGGCATCCTGACGAGGGAAAATGCGACAAAGCCGCCAACCTCCAAAAGAGTGCTGAGATTCTTATGGAAAGTCACTTCCTAGGTTATGTCTTTCCTGGAAAGACGAACTGCACGGAAGTACCAACAACACCCTCACAATACAACTGGCAATATGCTAGTGTAGTAATTGACGAAGACAAGATAAGATGGGCCATATCGGGCTTTTCCCCCTTCAAGTCACCAGGACCTGACGGTATAAGACCAGCCCTACTTCAATGGGGACTGGATATTCTTATGCCGCACCTGGTTGGAATATTCAGAGCCTCTCTAGCTCTGAGGTATATTCCCAGTGAGTTGAAAGTATTTATACACACACTAGGTAGGATGAACTACACCTTTACCATAAGCATTCCGACCAATTAATCTCACATCGTTCTTCTTGAAAACTATAGAGAGACTATGTGAGCGGTACATAAGAGATAAAGTACTAGTTCACAACCCATTTCATCTAAATCAGCATGCATATATTCCAGGAAGGTCTACTGATTTGGCCCTTCACCATGTGGTTGGCAGAATCGAGAGATCATTGGACAACAAAGAATCCACCCTGTGTATATTCATAGATATCGAGGAAGCGTTTGATAAAACAACCTTTCCAACAATTACGCAGCAACTACACTCCAGGAATATACCCCTGGTAGTAGGAGAATGGATACTCGAAATGCTCTTTAGTAGAGCAATAAGTATCAATGTAGAAGACATCACAGTGAAACGACTGGTAATGAGGGGATGTCCACAGGGAGGAGTCTTATCACCCCTTCTCTGGATACCTTGATTGATCACCTCAATAATAGTAGATTTTACACAATTGCATATGCAGATGACATAGTTATCTTGCAGACCGGCAAATTTGTGAACACACTGTGCGATGGAGCGCAGGATGGGCTCAAATTAATAGAAACATGGTGTAAGGAACACTCACTGTCGATCAATCCCGAAAAGACTGAGATGGTCCTTTTCACCAGACAAAGAAGTTTATCGGGCCTAAAACCTCCCGAAATCTTCAAAAGCAAATTAAACTTCTCTGAAGAGGTGAAATACCTTAGTACTATACTCGACAGGAAGCTAATATGGAACTCTCACCTAAAAAGAGTAGAGCAAAAAGAGCATATGTGGCTTATGAGCAATGTCGAAGGACAGTGGGACGCGTATGGGGTCTTTCACCCCTGTGGTCACCTGGATCTACACTGCAATAATAAGACCTATGTTAACGTACGGAACCATTGCAACGGCCATCTACAAGCAACGGCCATCCAAAAATTATGTCAAATACAGCGACTGGCTTGTTTAAACATCACAGGAGCCATGGGAACAACACCAACCGCGGCAATGGAATTAATTACGGGTCTGACCCCTCTGGACATGAACGTTAAGGAGGTTGCGTTAATGGCCATGTTACGATTGCGCACGGCTGGTGTAAACCTCGAAGTAAGTTGCTTGGGTTCTGTAGGTCATCAGCTGAAACAAGATATATACTATCCACTTTGGAATAAACTGTTCAAAATAAACAAAAAATTCAAGAACCAATCTTGGTGTTGAAAACAAATAACACTTAAACTGTAGGTAGGTACTTTAAAATTTCAAATATCACTATCATCCGAAAATCCGAATGATGCTATGGCCGCCAATTGGTACTGAAAAGCCAATCGGGAAAGTATTCATCTATTAGATTTCTATTTCAACCACAACAGAGAAGTAACTACTGAAAGGGTTGTTAGAATAGCACATTTAAAAATATCCTGACTATTACAGCTTGTACACAGACAACATAGAATGAAATGATGCCAAAAAACTACTGGCATACAACCACCACACATACTCATAACTATATACATTTCTATGATTCTGTTTGGTTCAAATAATCTGAATTTATTAGTACTTTTTTTATTTCTTTCTTAGATTTATTTGTGCTCCTCAAATACTTGATTCAATTAGGCAATTCATTATACAGCTTCATTGATATGTAATAAGGAGTTTTTTCAGTTATAGTTAACCTATGTATAGGGAGCACGAATGTTTTTTTTCTTGTTTCATAGGAATGTTTCATAGGAATAATATTGTTAAAAACAGATGCCTTTCTTTGATATAAACACTAAGCCTTCAAAAATATAAAGAGCGTATATCGTCATTATCCCATTATTCTTGAAAACATAAATACACGATTGATTATACTTCAAAGTATTCATCATTCTGATAGCCCTCTTTTGAATTACCATTATTTTTTTCGAGTACTTATTACTAGTGCTTCCCCATTCCATTTTAAGAATTCCATTCCATTTCAAGAATTCATCAATATGGAGTCCTGGAAACTTGGTGTCTTCTGAATATTTTATCGTGATGTTTTCAATATTCAAATTTTGAGGTCATTCTATCTGTAAATTAGTTCTAAAAAGTATGAGATTATTTTTAGAGTCATTCAAAATTAACCTATTCCTATAGTGAACCATTCTTTGGTACCTATCATTGAAGATTTCCATACCTGTTTTTACTACTTCAGGGTTTCACTGCCATTAATAAATTGGTGTCATCAGCAAAGACTGTTATTGATTTATCCGTGTTTGAATGATAACATAAATCGTTCATGTAGATGATAAATAACGAGGGACCCGCAATGCTTCCTTGGGGTATTTCTACTTTCACTGCAGCATTCTCTGATTCATAGGTTCGAACATGCTTGTTAATAGTTGAAATGTGCCTGCGAGGTGCTAAAAAACACTTTACAAGGAGAAAAACAGAAGTTTTAATGGAGAATCGTGTTCTTGCGATCCACGCGATTTACAGGTCATTGAGTCAAATTTTTTTTCATTTTGAAGTTTATAAAAACTAAAAAATAACTGACGAGAATTATTTCAAATTTAAATAAACAAACGTTAATTCACCTCTAAAATGAAAAATAAATTATGAAACGAACGAACCCATGCTGAATCGGCAGAATGAAAAAAAAAGCATCATAATCAAAATCGTAAAACCCCTCCACTTGAGGTATGGAATTTCATTTTGGGGTAGTTGCAGCAATTATCTATTCAACAACATATTCAAATTGCAAAAAAGAGCTTCAAGATATATGTGCAAAGATGAGTATAACGAGCCATGTAAGTCACTATCTGAAACCCATTAAAATGTCATTTGCAGAGTCATTATATATCTTAAATGGTATTGGTTATTACAGAAATATTTAGACATATCTACTACATACAAACATAGGTACTACAGTACTCGCCAAAACAGTAATAATAAACTTCCTCTTCGTTCTACAACTTTGATTGAAAACAAGAACATAAGAATCCCTTATTGAATTTAAAAAAGCAGTGAAGAACCTTCTGGTGGAAAAAGCCCATTATAATTTCGAAGAATACTTTAAATATTTCTTCTGATACATTCACTATTTTAATATGTTAATTTTGTCAATATTTTTATACAGTTTTAGACTTGTAGGTATACAATTATTTGTTGTCGTACTGTTTTTTTACTTCATTTGACATTGTATACTATATTGAATCACTTATGCTTTGTAATCATGCACAATGAGTTATATTATCATCTTCTCTTCGGTTTTGATACGATTTACGATTGTATTTTTGAAACCGTAGGCAATAGGACGCAATATCTATCATATATCTAGCAATATCTCATAATCGTCATAACAAAATTGAAAACTATCAAATGAAATTCATCATGTGATATAAAAAATGAAAATCAATAACAACATTTGATTATAGATGCCAATTTGTAGGAGTTCAACCTATTGAGAAAGAAAGTTATCAAATATATATCGAAATTAATTTTTTTGAAAAAATCAATGCATTTGTAAAAATAGTATTTAAATTGACTAGCCTGCAGTTCCAAGTCTCCATAACCTTCGTTGTATTTTTCGTGACCGCATCCAATGAAAATAACTTAAACAAACAAAATGGTGGATATTGTCGTCATAAATAGATTGTGACGTGCTCCACTCGATCTGCGCTCGCGGCCGTTCTAGACGTTGCGAGAATAATACTACCGGCTTCGATGGAATTCCGGCGAATTTTCTGCCGCCTTCAATTGCCAAATAAATATAACCCCGACCCACTCACCTATCGAGATAGTCAAGTGAAGTCAAGTTTCGCCGACAGTGAGGTACAGGGCGATCTAATAAGGCGATAGACATTTGAATAATAGTTGAAGTTTCAGTTAAACTGTTTAGTTGCATTAAAAGTGAAATAAAGTTAGGTTTAATTATTGTGCAGTGTAGTCAATTATTGGTAAACCCACGGAAAAAATGCAACACTATTAACAGATGATGATGAGGACGGAAACGCACAAACCATTTTCTTGTTCGCTCGATTGGTAGTTGTTTTACACAAAGCCAGACTGTCCCTATGGACATGTCGAAGGATTTGTGGTAAAATTTGTGGTTCAGGTTACAAACAAATCCATTGGATTTATATGATGATTGCCAGACCAACGATCACTTATGGGGCAATTGCCTGATGGCCGAAGGCTTTATAGAAAACGACCCAGGCGAAGCTCTCTGACTTACAGAGACAGACTTGTCTGGCCATCGGTGGTGCCATCAGTATCACACCGTCGGCGGCCATGGAGATCCTTCTAGATCTACCTCCTCTCCACATTTTTCTGGAGTGAGAGGCTAGATGGACTGCATCGACAACTACACAAATCAATTTAATGCAGAGTGTAACAGACTGTTGGTTGACACAGTCAACAGTCACAGCATTCTGGAAATGACCTCTGATTTTATGCCTCCAACTCTCAACCACGAATTGCCTTATAAAGTACTGTTCCCGATTAGGGAGGACTGGATCCTCCGGGAGAAGAAAATATTAAGAGCAGATAGTTGTTGGTTCACTGAAGGATTAAAAACAACTTCCGGTTCCGGTGCAGGTGTTTTTGATCGCAGACCCAGGACAGAGATATCAACCTGCCTAGGAACATATGCGACTGTATTTCAAGCGGAAATTTACGCTATTGAATTGTGGGCGGATTGAAAGAATCCAACCTCATACACAAGTCAATAAAAATATTCTCGGACAGTCAATCGGCGTTGGAAGCTCTTGGTTCCTACCAAGCAACGTCTAAATTGGTAGCAAATTGCCAAAAACCACTCTCCTCGAGTGGTTTGACAGATTGTCTCTGGTCTGGATTCCTGGCCACACTGGCCTGGAAGGCAATGAGACTGCTGACTCCCTTGCCAAGGAGGGTTCTGCAAGCAGCTTTATCGGACCAGAACTTGTCATTGGCATCGCTTTAGGCTTTGCCAAACAAACATCGAACACCCGGATGGCAAGAAGACTTATGAACTTCTGGCAGAATCTTCCAGGACTGGCTCACTCACAGTTGCTGGACTACAGTAGGGATGAACTACGATGTCTAACAGGCCTTCTTACAGGTCACTGTTATCTAAATCATCATATGCAGAGACTTGGACTATCGGAAGACAGTGTGTGTCGCCTCTGTTTAGAAAATGATGAAACAGCAGAGCACATACTCTGTGCTGACCCTGAAAGACCACTCATCATGAAAAATAATCAGCTTTGTTGAGAAGCTGGGTTTATTTGATAGAGTGTGAATAGGTATGAGCCACAATAAACCCTTGCGGGTTGCGATGGATGATCGAATAGACCCACTCACTTTGGACCTAACCTAACGTGACCTAACCTAACCTATTATGTCCTTTGATATTGCCAACCGACGGTCATCGCGCCATCCCCTCTATAACTATGTAAAGGATAAGATTCTCACTTAAGAACCAAAAATGATTTTCCTCAACCATTCAAGTTAAATCCCAGTCTAATATTATCTTTTGATTTCAGGTTTTATGGTTCTTATCTTCGAAAAAACTCGGTTTGAATATATTTTCAATCATTCGGAGATTTTCATCTGATAATGGCGTGATCATTCAAGAAATCAATGATAAAGGAATACTCATTTTCAACAGACCAAAAGTGCACAACGCTATAAACAGTGTCATGATGGCAAATTTTTACGGAGCACTCAGAAAATTTGAAAACGACAAAAAGAAGCTTCTCATAGTAAAAGGTTCTGGGGGAAGAGCATATTGCGCAGGAGGTGACCTAAAAGCACTCACGAAAGATGGAAGAAATGATGGTGGTGAAAAACATGAATTACTGAAATACTCGAACGCTTGTATTTTATGGATGTCTGCCAGAAAAATTCCCATTGTCGCATTAGTCCATGGAATTACTCTTGGTGGCGGAGTTGGTCTGGCTGTGTTCGGAAAATATCAAGTAGCCACCGAAAATACTTTGTTGGGGATGCCAGAATCGAAAATTGGTTTTCACCCGAATTGTGGGGCATCGTATTTCTTTACTCGACTAAATGGCCGACTGGGTTGGTATCTTGGTCTAACTGGTCAGAATATTAACGGTGCAGATGCTGTGAGGATCAGTCTGGTTTCCCATTACTGTCATAGCAGCAAATTACCAGCACTAGAAAACCAATTGCTCAAGTGTGCTAATGAGACTGAAGTAGCTAATACTTTAGATGAATTTTGCGAAAGCGACATACCAGAATTTTCTCTAGGGCATGCGAAAAACACTATTGATAGATGCTTCTCAGCTTACTCTGTAGAAGAAATTCTATCGAGGTTAACAGAAGATGGATCGACTTGGTCCAAAAATACGATTGAAACTTTGACTAAACTATCACCAACCAGCTTGAAAGTAATACTGAAGCAACTTAATAAGGCCAAAGAAATGACTCTTAGAGAATGTCTAATAATGGAATACAACTTAACAAATAACTTTTGGAAGTCAGACGAAACACATGAAGGTGATTATATCAATTTTGACTGATTTCAATATTTTCAGTTGTTTTGAGAGTTTTTATTATCTAGGTAAGAGAACTATTTTTTTTACTTCTGGCAGAATTTTCCAGGATTGGTTCACTCCAGGGCGTTTATTCACCCTTCGAAGCTTGATTCCAAACAGTTGTTGGACTACAGTAGGGATGAACTACGATGTCTAACAGGCCTTCTTACAGGTCACTGTCATTTGAATCGTCATATGCAGAGACTTGGACTGTCGGAAGACAGTGTGTGTCGCCTCTGCCTGGAAAATGATGAAACTGCAGAGCATATACTTCGTGCCTGCCCTGCTGGGGACCGAATCAGGTTCTTTGAGTTCGGCAGATCTGTATTCTCACCATCTGACCTGAAAGGTCACTCACCATACAAACTAATCGGCTTCGTTAAGAAGCTGCGTTTATTTGGCCGAGTGTGAATAGGTGTGAGCCAAAATAAACCCTTATAGGTGGTAGAGGGTCGAATAAACCCACTAACTTTAGACCTACTTACGTAAGAGAGCTATTTGAATTATTTTTTAGTGACAAATTTAGTATATTTTAAATTCAATGAAAATGGAATAAGTAGTTGAGGAATGAGATTGTTCGTTTCCTTTCCACGTTTGCAATAAAACACTTCTCGGGATTCTCAATATACCAGCAGGTGATTTTTTACAAAGCGCAAAGTTAGTTTTGTAGAATTGAAATTGTATTAAAGGAAACAACCCGTTATGTAATCAACTGTGAGGACCAAATAGAACATAATACTGAGGACCTTAGTGCAATAAAAGTGAAAATGATAATAAAAATCTCATCATCTCATAACACTGAAGAACTGAAAGCGGAACAAGAACATCTACGGGAGAAGATATCTCATTCAGGTTTGTTTGATTATGAGTTTCCATATGTTGCGTATCTCTACGCTAGTACATTGTTGAACAACATGTATGCTGCTTCCTTGAATTTCCTCCTAAACCAGTGTTCCTCCCTGTGTATTATCTCAGGTTGGGACCACTCGATGTTATGCTGATGGGTCCAAACGTGCTCTGCTATTCCAGAGCTGCTGGTTTCCCCTCGCTGTGTGTGTTTCTTGTGCTCGGCAATGCGATCTTTCAATGGCCTCTTAGTTTCACTGATATAGGATTTTTCGCACTCACAGGGTATCCGGTAAATGTAAACTCAGTCCGCGTTTGGTGGCTTGGTTTTCGTGAGGTTGCTACGGATAGAGTTTCCGGATCTGAAGCAGGTTCTGATGTTGTAACCAATTCTTCTTATTCTTTCCGATAATCCTCTAATGTAGGGAAGTGCAGGCGCTGGTTGTGACGGCTTCCATTCTTTGCAAGACTCTTGCTGTCTTTTAGCCAGAGTCGGTTCCACCATCGTTTTGGGTAGCCATTCCGTTGAAGATTATTTTTGATGTTGTCTAGTTTCTTCTCGAGACCTTCCTTCGTATTACAGAACCCGAATGCACGGTCTAAAAAAGTCTTGATGATACCTCTTTCAGTCGATTGGTGGTGGTTAAATTCGTGGTTCAGATACTGTCCCGTGTGAGTGTGTTTTCGGTATACAGATGTTTCCCACATAGTGTCGGTCTTCTTCACCAATACGTCTAAGAATGGAAATTTGTTGTGGACTTCCTTCTACATTGTGAAAGTGATGGAAGATCTTACGCTGTTGGTGTGTTTCAGGAAGGCGGCTAGTTCAGTATTGCCATGGTTCCATATAATAAAGGTGTCGTCAACGTATCTCATCCAGACTCGGGGTTTCTTGTGGGATGATGCTTCAATGGCCAGAGTTTCCAACCACTCCATATATATGTTGGCTATAACTGGTGAAATTGGCAATCCCATTGGCAGTTCTTCATCTTGTGTAAATAATTCGTCCTTCAGTTGGAAATAACAGTTTCGTACACATCATTCTAGTAATTCCATAATTACTTATATAGGTAAGTACGTTCTATCTTCCAGGTCCCCGACTTCGGATAGTTTCCTCTGTATGATTTGGAGTGCTTCTTTGACTGGAACATTGGTGTGAAGGCTTTCCACGTTATTTTCAGCTATTGATTTTAATTTTTCATTTGTATTGGTTATTTTAAGGATTTCAAATCATTTCATATAATATTAGACAATTGAAGCCCGAATTAATGAAATTCACCATGAAACATTGTCATCCACCTACAAACAAACGTTGAACACCTGGTACGGAGCCGGAATCAGCGACTTATTCTGAGGATATGAGAAGACTACGGTCACGCTTACCAAGGAAAAAACTCACCTCAGTTTTTTGTGCAGAGCGGGAGAGAACAACATCTTCCCCAAAGGTTTTCTGCTGAAATCGGCAATCCCAGGCGACTTCAGCAGGCTGATTTGGTTAACAACATGCTGTAAGTAGCAGTTATTGATTTGTGATACTCTCATTATACGTGGTCGATCAACACGTAAACGATTATTGATCGGGGGTGAACGATTTAATGACAATTTTACGGCTCAGATGCAAATCCTTGTACTTATGTCAAATGCTAAGAATATCGTTCTTAGTTGGCACAAGGTTTCGAAAGGGTTTTCAATTTTGATTTGCTCGAAGAGCAGCTGTTTGGTGGTTGGAACGGTCTTGAATGAATAGCGAATCACGTTGAGCCTAAACAGGAGTTATTGATTCCGAGGATTTCATTATTGCAATTGTACTCACTTTGCAAGATGACTGTTGCTGGAAAAGCTGAAAGCGATATTTTCGTTACCAAAATGTATGTGCGGGTCGGGATCCAATCATTTATCCCCGATACTCGTAAATACTGTGTAAAAATGAGAGTTTCTCGAACTTGTCTAGCTAAGATTCCTGCGGTAGAGTGACAAACCGGCAGGATTAGATTATTCATTTAAATATAGTGGTTTGGGTGAAGCCTGTGCAGTTTTTCTTGACCCTTTCAAAAGATTTACCTCACCAGCAGCTGAACTCCGTGACAAATATCGTTTTGCTTTGAAGATCAGAGAGAACAATATCAAGCTTATTATCTGAAATCTTCCTGAGAGTGTGAATGAAAAGTCCCAAAACATTCGCCACTTGTCATCTCTCATAACGGATTCAAAATCCCTCCAGAGCATAAGGAATGCCGAAGAGTCGTCAGTACCGTGAGAGTGCCGTCAAAAACCTAGGATACATGATGAAATTGCATACGCTAGACGAGTCGACAGCAGATGCATAAGAGGTGGATTGGCCTATAGTTGGCCACTTAGTAGTATACTTCAAAAATGATGGAGATGATGAAGAAAGGGAATAGTAGTATAGATCTCTCAGATTTTGTATTTTCAAGATCAAGACCTCTTCTTGAGAGCTCCATATATGTTTTGGCAGTTCGGTTTGTTATCGAAGTATTCCTCACCCTGACTAATGAGTGTTTGAGAGAAATAACGTCCTTTGCAATGTCAAAACATCAGGAAGTTATGTTAGCTGGTGTTGAAGTTCATATTTTTTGTCTTGAAACTAACCAAATTTTTGAGTTGTTGGTTGCTATTACCACAGTTGTCAACGCTGTTTTAAAATAATAAATTAAAGATTTCTGAGGAATATTTGAAATATCAGTTACAAAAATAGAACAAATACTGGTACCAGATTTTCTAAAAATGAAACTTGTCTTTTGTAAAAAAAGAGTCTCAATTATAATATCCAGCTAAACATAAAACAGATATCGCATTAATGGTGACATCTTATGCTAACGAACATTTTGACGCAGATATTTTGAAATCTGAAAAGACGAATGAAGGAAGGTTCAACCCGGGGTTGAAACTAGTTGAATCCATCAAAGATGAGTTATTAGCAAATAACATAATGGCTATTGCCATAAGTGGAAAAGAATATGTAGGAAAGACTGTAATTTTTCTGAATTCTAGCACTTCTTAGAAACGACCCCACCAATTTGTATCATAAAGAAATTAAAGAAACTTTAAATAACTTCATCGCATCGTTAATGAAAGAGAAAGAGCTAGATTAGTAGTGATAAAGTCACAACCGCCTGAATTTCACTCAATTAACAAGTTACACAAAGAGAACTACTCCATCAAACCAGTATTTTTTTTTATTACAGCAGCTTCAGTGAAAATACCAGAAAAAAGAATCTCAGTCATTCAGAACCATAGTAATTTTCAGTCAAAATTCAGTTTAAAGAAATAATATGATTTGATGAATGAAATTCAAAATATCACTTTTCCGGTTAATTCCAAATTGATTTCGTTTGATGTGAAGAATTTGTTTCCCAGCATTTCTCCGATTGATACTATTGGTCTTGTGGAAAATCTATCGGACAAAAGATCAATCAATCCAGTAGTGAAACAATGAATATGAGACTTGTTGACTGCGTGTTTGTTGTAGAATTATTTTCAATTCCATGACATAGTGTCGCGATTTTGAAAACGTTTTATAATGAAAATCAAAATATGGAAGGTTATGGAGTAATTGAAATGCGGAAAAGTTATTTCTGTAAATTATCAGAAAACGACAAAAAATTCAAATTAAAAAGGGTATATTTCCAAGAGAGCTTAGTTTTTGGGAAAAATGATTTTGGATTTCTATTTCTATACCTCTTCATTCTCAAAATGTGGGCAGCTTCCAAAAAAAACGAATAAAAGAATTAATTTCAAAATAAACTATCTGAAGTTACTTACGAGTACAAACTGGAAGAAAAAGCCCTTACAGTTAGAAAAAATTCCATTCATCCGCGACAAAGTCGTAATGTTATGAATGAAACGAGTGCTTGTGCTGCTGAGGTACTGCTGAGGTAATGAGACAAGTGACTTATTCCGAAATTCGAAGTCCACCCTTGAGGATGAGAGGGTTTTATGTAAGTGATTTTTTTTTATTGTAACCCTTTCATAGATCTACTATATTGTGTAGCTTTCCTATGAATGATATCTAATTCAATTCCATAACGAATGTTTGGAGTACAAACATTCTATGTTCGTATAAAAGTAATTTTTTCGAGAGGTATTTCTCTTCCATTTTGTGTCTGAAAGTTACTTCTTTGAATAATTCACACATCTCTGTAATTTGAGCTTAATTGCTTTGCTTGTTCCTTTAGAAGTTTTCCACAATTTTATGTTTGAAGAGATATAAAAATGGAGAAGTGAAAGTCAAAAGGCTTTATGAAAAAAGATACAAAACTTTGTATTATACTATAACTCTAAAACAGTAGGCACTTGATTCTCAGAAATGACAGACGTTTTTGCCTTAATCCGTCTCCTACAGTGGCGTACGGAAATTATACTAAACATATGAGGAAAAATGATGTTTTCGTGATGTATGTTTTCGTTTTAATGCAATAATATTTCTGAGAATTCGGTACCTACTATTATGGAATTGTACTATAGTAACTAACGTTACTGTAGTTTCGTCCTTCGACGACTTTGTATGAAGAAGATCACAACAAAATATTACAACCTCTGGAAGATTTGCTGTAATATAGATTGCAGTCAACCCTCCTCTCATAACAACTCACATCTCAAAAATGTAAATTGGGAGTGATAGTCGTGTGACACCTCATTTGCAAGGTTATTCAATTCTATTGTATTCAGCTCAGTGACATAAATGTTTTTCGTCAGATATACCATTGCACCTTCTGTTAACCTGGCCTGTCGGAATCCATATTGTTTCTCAGACAGGATTGAATATTTAACTGTAATAACCGACAATAGCATTTACTTTGTTTCAATAATATATATAATTGTTATCATTGTTGTCAAAAGAATGTTTTTATTTCACTCAAATCACCCAAATCACCCAAATCGAGTGAAAATGTTATTAGTGTCTGAACTGAAACCAAAATTTTAATAATTGGTAACTTTTGATTACATGAAGCATACATGGCAAAAAACCGTTCTACCTTTCAAATCCCATATTTTTACATATTAAAAAACGAAAGATGAATGAAAAGAAGAAAAACTGTCTGTAGCAACTTCTTTCTCTTGCCGAAATAGACTATGACAAAAATGAAACAAGAATATTTATAACGAAAATTTCATTTCATTAAATATCAAAAAACAACTTAATCTGGATCATGTTTATGGTTTGATAGAATTCTACTTCTGAGGATAATAATAATTGGTAATAATATTCATAGTACCTATACTTGAAATCAATATTTAGTTTATGTAATTTCTACCTATTTTCCAGTACAACTTTGTCCAGTTTCCAAAACTACTAATGAATTTTGATGTAAATGTATCGAAACCTTTTACCAAGGCAAAAATATAAACACATCAATTACCAGTGGAAATATCGCTTCACTCTCCAGCCGATGCTGGCATCACCACAAACATCTTTGATTTAATTCCTCAGGTCGTTGTTGCCAGTGCGGCCCTGGCACCATCCCCTTCACAATTCCAAAGCACAGTAAGTGCAATCAAGATCGAGCGCCCGTGTGTTGTGAGAGCAACTGTTTCTAGTGACGTCACGTCATCAGACCGAGTTCGCTCTTTGGCCGTGTAGCTGATGTCGCTCGCGCCGTCAAGATTTATTCACAATAAACAAAAGTAACTATCAAATTTATTCAAATATATCATGATAACGCTGTAATAACCATCCCTATAATTATGAATGTGGTGTACAGTTACATTTATTGTAATTATTGGTGTCGTGGAAGTGGTTTACAAATACGGTGAACGCGAATCTGTAAATAAGGGTTGGTTTTGTCTGTAACTTTCATGGCAAACTCGGACTTGCTCCTGTCGACATGAACAATGATTGTTCGACAGTATTGGAACGGGTTGTTGAATTAGGACTTGCGATGCACTTATGAACCAGCTGAAAGGTGTCGTTGACCCCTTCAATGACATTTTCCGAATGAACTCTTGATATAATGAACAATCGTTCTGC